TGTTTTCGTCGTGCCTACTGCCTCTTTCCTGTTCCTTATTCGGGCATGAAGAGCCTTCAGGAAGGAGACCTTCTATTTCCATACGTTGGCGTCTGAAAGGCACTTGTTTTTTATGACCGTCTAAAAGGGGGACAAAATGAGTTGATTGTAACATTATGATGGGTAAAATTAACGTATGAAAGAGTATTTGGGGTACACTGAGTTGCGACTGCAGCCTTTGAAAGGTCCCAAATCAAAAAAGCATTTCGACGGAAAAGTAAATAACGAAGGATATATCTGAGAAACATCATGGAGAACCCACTTTCGTAAAGCGTACAGTAACATCCTTGAGTATTGCCTTCACGTTCAGACGAAATATCACGAATAAAAACGTTTTCCCCATTTGTAAAACCTGGTACGTGCCTGTGTAAAGACCTAATATTTTTGGGTGTAGGTGCTTTCAAGCTACAACTTATGAAATATTCTCGACACGTATCGAGAGGTCTGACAAATGGGCAAGTAGGAAAATCGTTGATCTAGACGGAATCCCTTTGATACCTTTGGAAGCGATGGCAGAATTGACAAAAATCGTCAAGATTTAGTTAAGAATTCATGTAGGAAATCACTTATTTTCAGAAAAGATGGTTTTGTGTCGCGATTGGTTTATAAGATGGCCCTTGACGTAAGGAGGTCATAGAAGCCCGGGGAAGTGCCAGCTCTAAAAAAGGCTCGAGAGTGCTGCTGCCTCGTGTTTCAGATCGAAGCACAAAGCACCTTCTCAGATTAAAGTTGAGATGGAGCGACGCTGAGGGTTTACAAGTTATATATACATATATATGCAAGATATTTAGCAGCACTTCAACCGGAGGTTACATAGCTCGCCAAACGAGAAAGAGATAAAATAGTAATGACAGTGGGCGCTATGCATATTAGGCCTCAATGTACTTAATTCAAGACAATGAATATTGAAACACCATGCATAACAGTGATTTAGGTGATGACTTGTTGGCTCTTATGCGTAATGTTAGAGGAAGTCAGGTGCTGATACCGGCGTATGATTAAGAATTTTCCTTATCCTGCCCCCCGGAGAAAGCCAGCTGGTTAGGGGAGGTCTGCAATAAAATTCGCGAGAAGGCAATATTGCCTTGCTCCTTGAAGCATTAAATATCTCGCGATAGTATTTTGCTGTCCTAAATTTGAAGATAAATGCGATGACCTTATGGAAATCTACTTTAAATAACCGCCCTGATAGTCTCCTTCCATTGAGCATATGGGTAGAGAGTTAGGTAAAAACAAGAAACACTCAAACCATACATGTGTTCCAGTCAAATTTGTTCAAGTAAGTTATTGGACCCAAGTGTATTAGAAACAACGGTTGCTCCACGAACGACGATGTCTTGGCAACCGTTACAGAGCAAAACTGTGACCGAGAGGTAAGCAACTTAGTAAAACCCCATACGATTCAAATTCTCATAATCTGGTAACAGTACTGCAGTAACCTCAGATGCTTTGGAAGTTTTTAGAGTACCGCTCGACATGCGATAACTTTGTGGGTGAAAAGAGACTGATAATTAAATCCAAAACCAAATTGAACATTAAGGCACTTTTTATTCACTAAAAGATGAGATTTGGATAATTTCGACTTTGAGGTAAGGATGAGGAATATCAATCGGTCGGCGGAGGACGAATCATCTAAAATAGTCATTTAGTTGTAAGTGAGCCTATCTCGAGGACCAACACCAGTTGAACGTGAATGCATGGACCGTGCCGTTGAGCCTATCGTTCTCGAATTTTGTAACACGACTTGGTCGACACCACGCACACGTATGAGGGGGGAATAAAACGCAATCGCAATGGGGCTCATCAATGAATAGTCACAAGCAATTGCTAAAGGATGGGTGTACCAAATGGCGTTGCTATGTAAAGTGAATGAAAATTAAAGGTATAAAGTCAGTTTTGTCAAAAGCGAGTTACAATCGAGCAATTACTTGGCATAAAAACAACAGCCTGGAAATTCTTCTCCTGAAGGACAACAATCTGTTCTGCCATACGTTTGGTTTCCAATTCATATGCCTTCAGTTTGTCCAAACATTGGGAATTAAAAAATTGCAGATCATTATTCAATGACTGCAGGTTGCGTATTTTTGAGCTCATATCTAGCCATTAATATCCACGAAAAAACACTTACCTCGAACAGTTTCATCATACTTTAGACGCAAATCATCTATTTGTCTATGTGTTAAATTAATCTCCTTAACCAGACGGGCGTTGTCTGATTTATAGGGCGCAATGCACTCCTCAGCGCGTCCCATAAATTCGGTTCTAGATTCCAGTTCATGCTTGGTTTTACTCAAATTTTCTTTGGTGTTCACGAGATCAGAGATTATTTTTTCAACGAGAGGTAAACTGTCCATCCCGAGTGGCTGTTTATAGCCAAGATCGTCAAGAGTGCGCCGAACATTGAGAAACCGTTCTTGCGCTGCGATCATTTTCCGAAAATACTGAGTGCGGGATAAACAATTCACGACTTTTTAAAGAACTGTTGAACAGCATATACCAAGAACGATTAAAACAACCACGAAACCAAAGTGAGGGGGTAAACCTGAAGGTCAAACAAATGTGCTTCGTTAGGTCAGTCACATCAAAACTAGCTAATCCAGGGATGTGGGTAGCACAGCTAAACCACTGATTGGTTTTTTCTATATATATTACTTCTCAGCGACGTCCTCGTGGACTTTTCGGTGCAGAGACGTGTGGATAGCTTTGGCTAGCCCGCCAGCCGGCTGGATCGGCAGTGAGTATAACGCTTCTAGAGAACCCAGCCCTCACTCAGCGTTATACGGCAAAACGTGGCCGCTATCGGCAGTATCGGCGAATGGACAGGGCGTTCCGTTGTCATATTCGCGGTGGTTTAGAAGGTAATCGACTGTCTCCTCAAAGAAACAGGAGCGTTCGGAAAAGGCGCTAAAGTCCATGACAGAGCACACTGAAGGGCGTGGCGCACGACAAAGCAGCGTCCAGAGCATAACCACCTGGTTATCAGTCAAGTATCTGAGCATGATCTGGCTGTGGTCCTCCGGTTAAATTTCGTCCAAATAAAAGCGCAGGCACCGCAAGCAACGTCTAAATCCTTTGCAGTTTTCCTAGGGACTGAAGGCGAACCCAAACGGTTGATAGCGGCTATAATCGCTTTCAGAAATGCTACAGGTTCGTCAAATTGGCTGCCACTGTTTTTGCATCCGAGCTCTCTAAGGCTTCCGATTTTGATGATCATTCCGTACTTCGATCGATATCAGGTTCGTTGTATCGTCAGCTGGCGCGCCCGCTTCCTTGTAAGGGTAATTCACATCAGACTTATATACATGAAACATTACATACAGGTGTTTAATGGGCGAAATTAGTAGAGCAATAAGCACCCCATTTTGAGAAGCACGATCGGGTATTTTAAGCACAGTGTAGTGGATCTTATCCATTCGGAGGTCACACAGCGTTCACGGTTGCCGTTCTAGAATGGTCGAGCTCGGGGACTACCATGGGAGAGAGAGACTGATCCTTCATACGCTTGCGCTTGTAGCGTCCGAGACAATGTGTGACGAATGTGGGACCACGATGCCCATATCTTCGATAGAACCATCCCAGTATTCATCTGTTGATCTAAGCGGAGTCGATTACATAATTTCAATACAATTGGTCATCATTGTACAACAGTCGAGAAGAAATATAAAAATATGCAAGCCGAATGTGTATGCGGTTGTTCAGCTGTCATTTAAAATTTTCCTATGATAGCTTCCGAGTTGCCAGGTCGACACTATGGTGAACTCGACAAAAACTATGCACTTTCATGTCGAATCTCGATTATTATTCGCCCTTCACTTAATTCAAACAGATTCTATCTCGAAGGATATTATTGCGCGTCTATGAAAGAGAACACATACAAGGCAAAGCTTGAAAGCCAAGTAACCGTCTCTTCTATTCTTACAAAAACTTAGCAATCCGTCAAATCAGTTAGTTATACCCAAACTATCATAAGAACCATGACGAGGAGGTCAGACTAAAGGTCAAACAAGTGTGCTTAATCAGGTCAGTCATAACACAATGACTAATTCAGAAATATGAGTGTCAAATTTGGAACCGCTTATTAAATTTTGGTTCAACATACATTGCTTTTCAATGGCGTCCTCTTCAGATTTTGTAAAAGTTGTGATTTTGAACTAAAGAATCCTTTTTCTAAAAAATACGGGTAGATGCGACGGCACTGGGCCAACCACACTGACTGCTCATGGCATCTGTAACATTCGCTGAAAATTTCCCAATTTCATTTTGATTTAACTTAGCATCTGCCATCATACAGTGGGATGTATTGGAGAAAATTTTGAATAAATGATATAACTAAAGACGATTTGGCAGTTGTAACGTTTGTTTTCACAATTTGGGGATGCAGGCTAAATAAACAATGCAGGGGACGTTGCAAATTCTATGTGAGCTCACATCTCGGCCCAGTCCTCCTGACGTCCCTGGTATTATTTTTAGCTGCGTTTATGCAGTCTTACCTTGGCTGAACATAGATTTCTCTCATCTGCTAACTTAAGTACTTTTCTTCGGTCCCGTTTTGACTACTTTTAAAAACGTACCTGTTCCGGAGATATTTGCTGCTCAGAGATAGTGCCACAACCGATGGAACCGGAGGGCAATCTCAGGTGACCGACTAGTCTTTAGCAGCAATAGTTTTGTTTTCGAACGCGAAGAGTGCACTATCCGAAGTCAAATGGTAAATCAATACATCGTTCTATTTAGCACAGATAATGTTGCTTTCAGGGAGGTCAAAATTATATAGAATGCATTTTCGAGTGGATTTTAGAGCGAGTAGACGAACACTGCACAGTGATCAGTTTCTGCTAATAAACTGGGCAGGCTGGTACAAAAACGGTTAGCAAACAGTTAAAATGCCCTTTATTTTTTTAAAAAAGCAAAATGAATGTGACTTGACAGTTTTTAAGGAGAAAAAACTGTTACTTATGGGAAGACAAACATGCGGGTGGGAATAGACCATCCTGCGCATTGGAATACATAAGGGTTCGAAACGTTCCACGCTAAGGTAGATTTCCTAAACCTGATGAGGCTACTCACTGCAGATGTGATCATAATACTTTCTGGGTGACAGCAGAAGCAACTGTCAGGGTAGCGAGACAGGGGTCTGTGTGAGGGGACAGATGTACAGTACCTTGTAATGCCCCGAAGAAGTCTTGCTGAAAGACGAAAGCTGACGACCTCCTCATCATCTCTGGATTCTAGAATCTTGGCCGGAGACACTGCGGATGCCAGCGTGTGTTCGCAGCCTTCCCTGGATATGGCTGAACCAAAAATCATATTAGTCCACATTGAACAAATTGACCCTATAGTAGCTCAAAACTACGCCTCTGCTAGTCGTAACAGAACATCATCCAACGAAATACTACACCAGGTTCATAAATGGCGACACAAGCAGTGCTTCCGAGGAAGTTATTGAAGAAGCGTTTGGGCATATCGTGGTAGTAATGATAATTGTATCTAATGCCAGTTTATTGGCATTGTCATGGCAAAATTAAGCACAAATCCGGCCAGCAGTGAAAAAAACTCCTGACAAGAAAGCTAAAGATGATGGTGGTTTTTATAGTTTGGAGGGTTCAGGAGAAAAAAACTGCTGCCCATGAAATGACGACAGTTAAGAAAGGGAGAAGTTGATGTGCATCGGAAATTATCAGTCGCCATTTCTTTTCATGAATTTGACACTGAACCAAACAGGAGCACTAACGAACAACTGTCACTGTTGGTCAAAGAAATTGTTCCTGGTGAGACTAGCCATAGGAATCAGAGACCACGGACGCCATCGATACCGTATAGTCGATCAGTAGATTCAGCAACCATAAACTGTAGGAGTTTTTCTGAATGCTATAATCGAGTAATAGTTCTCTTAAACATAGGATACTTTTGTGCAGTTTTCACATTCATGGTTTATTTATTTCAAATAGCAATTGCTTTCACACAATGGAACGGACGATATTTAACGGTACGCGGCAGAGGAAGAGATAAAAAAACCTCACAGTGATGCTTGCATCGAAGGTGAAAAAAGTGTTTTAAAGTATTGACTAAGTTAAAGATATGATTATATGAAAGTGTAGATAGTAAAAATAGTCCCTTTAGTAATCTACGAAACCATAAAGGATCAAGGCCTGTAAGCCGGCAACCTTCTTGGTAAGAAAAATGTCGATGTTCCGGGGTTAAAATTCTCTTGGTAAAAAAGTGTTGAACGGATTCTATTTTCTTCCGCTCAATAGCACGCATGAATCTGAATAAAAACGAACAGTATTTCAGGCCAGGTCTAACGTACATGTTGAAAAGGCGCATTCTAATGTCCCTAGTTTTAAAATTTCGGAGGATAAACCCGGTCGTTCTACGTGCTTTGGAGACTATCAAGGCACAGTGCTCCGAGAGATTGGGACTCTTGGAGTATGATACGCCCAGATCCTTAATAACCCCAGGCACATTCAAAGCGTGACAATCAATGCTTAGTTGAGGTTGGCGGTCGTCGCCAACCACCATGACTGAGCACTTATGCCAAGAAATAGAAAGGCGCCATGTGTGGTACCACTGGGCGAAAGCCTGTAGATCGATCTTTAGGAGGTCAAGCACAATGTCACGATCTGCCGGCTTATATCGATATGCAACTTTAAGATCATCGGCATACATGAAAGGCTTACCATTCTGAAATAAATCGGGTACATCATTAACGAAAAGGCAAAATAAAGACGGGCCGAGTACACTACCCTGAATGACTCCACTCCTCACACGTGTGGGGTTGGAGATGGTATTGGAAATCTTAACTCGTTGTGTGCGAGTGCCCAAATAAGAGGATATAAAATTCAAAAGTTTGCCACCTATTCCGAAAAAAGACAGTTCCCTGCTCGTCATTTCCTCCCCCAAGTCCTACCCCTTTTTATCCACGTCAGAATCTTTTGATGCCACAAAATTTTTTGAAGAACTGGATGGGTACATACGGAACGTTTGCTCTGTGGGCAGCCAAGCACTGGACGATGTAGTCAACCTCCCTCAAAAAGAAACAGCCTTTCCCCTCAAACGCCAGATCCTTGCTAAATAAAATGCCTTTGCTTCATATTCTGGTATTCGTCCATTGCCTAAATATTGGTTCCGTAACTGAGAGATTAGCAACAGCTTCTGTGACTGATTCTGAACTTCTTCTTCTTCTAGACTATACTTGCATTCGAAATGATCGCCATGACAGCTGTTGTTGGGACAGTTTCATCTACGTTAAGCAAACATTTACATTTCTACCGCTAGACCTCCCGCATTTTGCCGCAGTATAAGGCAGCTGCTGGATCCAGGATTCACTAAAAAATAAGTTTTCCTTACTTGTTGACTGTGTTTATTGCCCTCCTAACGCCAACGAAAATTTTGATTGTTTACTCTCACAAGCAATTAATGCTGCGGCCGA